TTACCGCCCCTGGGTCAAGTCCCAGCACCATACTTACTTGTATGGGACCCAGGCAATTGTTCACCTCTGAGCCTGTTTCCTCAACAGGCTTTGTGATGTTGTGGAAAAAAAAATGACAAGAGCCACATGCTCAGTGTGGCCATGGCATGGAGGAAACAATCAGTGGGCGGGGACAGCAGCTATCACCACAGTCATCTGTTATCATCTGGGGCCCAAAAGATGAGTGACATTTGATTAGCACCTGGGCTGAGTGCGGTATGATGCTGGGCAGTCTGCCTGTAGAACTTTCTTTTCTCCTGTGTCCATTTACTGATAAGGCACAAAATCAAATCCAACGTGGCCCAGGACAGGCTCTCCCAAGGGTGCACATGCTGCAAAGTTCAGTCAAATTTCTCCTTTTTTATTTTTCAGAGCCGTCATTTGTGGTAGCACGAAGGACCCACGCACTCCTACTTAGCTGTTCCCACCTCACCAGGTGCCTCCCTCAGATTCCCATCGGCCTCTGCCCTCCTCTCTCCCTCAGGGAGGATTGTGAAAGTGCCAGTGGAAGCCAGTTCTCACTTCCTTTTCTCCCAAATGTTTCCACCTGGTGTTTCCAGAGGGTGCCTCTCCACTGGCCCAGTCGTCGGGAATGAGGGACCCAGTGACTCCACAGCTCTCACGAATGGAGGGGTCTGAGGTTCAGCCATGTGACCCAGACAGAGAAAACAAAGCCAGAGCCAGACCATTCCTCGCCGACTTTGGGGCCTCTCAGGTGCTGCTCTGTGAGACTCTTGGCCTTCTAGACCCCCTCGTCTGCTTCTGCCACCCACATGTCTAAGGGGTGCCAAGCAAAGGGAAAGCTGAGCAACAGGGAGAGCCCTTCCAGCCCCACTCAGGGCACCTACTCAGGGCACCTACTCAGGGCCCTGGGACTGCTCTAAAGACCAGCGCCCCCAGCAGGGAGTGCCCACAGGAAAGGAGGGCCCTCAGGCTGTCACAGCCAGCACCCTCCGTCCCCACCCACAGAGCTTCCCTTCCAGCAGCAGAACAGCGCAGGGCCTGTTATTCAAAGAACAAGGTGGTTGACCTGCAACCTCTGGTTCCGCCCTGGAGGTCAGGTTTGCCCTTCTAGCTGGGAGGACACAGGTCTTGGGGGACTTCTGCAGCTGAGTGTGAGACAAGTACCCAGACTCACACAGGCCTTCTGGATGAAGCTGGATGTTTTGTTTCTCTGAACTAGCATAATGTAATGCACGTTCAAGAAGGTGGTAAGTATATTCTCCCAATTTATCAGAAGATAGATGCCAAACTGAAATCAAATCAGGGTGCATGTGGTTTGTATAAAGAACCTAGGGTCCCATTAACAATGGGGATGAAGGTGCAGATCCCCTGAAGAACATTGGAACAAGCACTCATGGATCAGATACAGAAATGATGCTTTAATTACCCACACAACCCCTTTTTTATTAACAAAGTCCTGTTTGGAAATAAAACATCCCTGAACGGAGTCTGAAATTAATCCTCCAATAGGCAGAAATCCACACTATTTATATATTCTAATTATAATTACAACCTGCTTGTAATGTGAACATTCTAAGTTATTGGTCCCTTTATTAAGAGCCAAAAAAAGACTTCCTGCAGCATAATGAGCACTAGTCACAAGCTTCGTGCGGGGTGGGTTGGGGGGAGGGGAACCAAGAGACAGTTCTGCAAGGGGCTGGAGGATGGTGGATGTAATTTATTTAATAAAAGTGCTTAGTTGAGGAATTGGTGCACCCTTAGGGGCTCAGACAGCTCCACGCCTCAGAACTGCTATTTCTAGGGCAAGATAAAAATGTGTATCGTAAGAAAATAACAATTTATCATTGTAATGGTCACATCCCACTTCAGAATCCACTGGAGACTACTTAACATTTTTATTTCAAACACTGTTTTCTCCGAGTCCTCAGGTGACACACGAATACTGATGCCAAAGGCTTTTCCCCATTTGTTCCTAATAAAAGTGGCTAGATCCCGAGCTCATTTTCATCTGGGGTGACGTAAAGGTCTGCGCATTCACAGGCTGATCCTTCCCCTCCCTCCTGTGCTCTCCTTCCAATGTCTCCAAAGGCAACATCAGGCAGTCACGGAAGATGAAGGGGCTCCCCTGCTCCTCCCCCTGTACCCTCCTTCCCACCAGGCCTCTTCCAGAGGGTCACATGCTATTGGAACGCAATGACATGCTGACCACACTCTGCCTGGGTCCTGTGTGCTCAGTGTGCCTACCATGAGAACCCACTCTGTATCTGACAGGCATCCTCATTATTGATGGATTTCTCTATTTCAAAAGGCTCCCAAGATTTGTAAATGTTGCCACTAAACAAATTCTTATTACTTTTCTTCTGTTACTTTATACAGCCAAATCCTTCCCATCTGGCATTAAACCTGAGGCCAATTTTCTGAAAATAGTCACCTTTGTTACTGTGATTATTAACCAATAAAAGGTCTGGATTTCTTTTGTGCTGTAGCCACATCAAATCCTTGAGGTTTCTTCCTGGTGTTAAGACATCATACATTGGAACCTAACCCGTATAACTTTTTCTCTTTGTCTTCCTCTTAAGGAACAAGGATCTAAATGTTCCATGGTGATTATGGGAACTATGGTTTTTGTAGAGTAATAATAAACAGTAATAAAACATATATATTGAACACTAACTATGGGTCAGATGCTTTCAAGTATCTTCTCAATGGCCCCAGGAGGGAAATATCACAATATCTGGATTTTGTAAACAAGGATGAGACAGAAGGTTAGAGAGGTTAACTAATAACTCACTCGTAGTCACAGAGCTGGTGGGGGTAGAAAAAGCCTCTGAACGCAGACAGCCTGACTAGAGATGAGCTCTCCCCGCACACAATCAGATTTCTTATGCTCTCCACAAGTGGGACGAGCGGCTCAAGATGTAGTGGTCAGTGTTTTTAAGGTGAAGGCATGAGTTTTTAATTCTTTGATGCCCTCTTCAAATTTAGTCCCATCTCTGAACGTTTACAAGCTTCTTACTCAGCATCCACGCAGCCCATCCCCGCATCCTGGGAGGGACGATGGCTACAGCCAGTACCCAGCGAGGAGCCCGGGCACAGGGGCCACGGTCCCCGAGAACAAAGCCATGAAAATGTACACGGAATGGACAAGAAGCCCTGAGTCATCTTGAGTGCTGCGTCATATCCCAGATAAGTTTCAGCCTGATCAATAAATCTGAAAACATAACCCACCAAGAGAAGGGGGGTGGTTTACATCAACGTCCTAGGGGTGAGGTTGGTGCTGAGCACCAGGGTAGTCCAAGAAGCAGACACCCTGTGGGCACCAGCATGAGACCTTCAAGGCCAGTGGGCCAGCATGGACACTCAGACCCCCACCAAGAACCGTGCAGACAGTCTACCTCTGCACCTCTTGGATTACAGCTGAATCCCACACAGAGAGGACGGGGTAGGTATGTGTGAGTCGCCAGCTGGGTTCTGATTTGTGGTGAATACACTGGCATTCTGGTTACATTTGAGTTCGATTAAGGTGAGCCAGCTCCCCTGAGCCTCATTTATAGTGGGCTGAAGACGAATTTAAATTTCTAGATCTGCAAACAAGGGAACTCCATGTTCCTAAATAACCTATAGAAAAGGAACCTTTGTCCCTCCCAGCCAGTCTCCTTGCCCCAGGGAGCAGGGGGAGGCAGTCAATCAGAATCTGGGACCCTATGAGGCATTATACCGCTCAATGACTAAAAAGGGGGGCCCCAGGTGGGGTGTGCCTGGGGGCTCCCCCACCCCATGAGGAACCTGTGCTCTTGGCATGCTCATCTCTGCGTTCTTTTTCCAGCCCTTACTCCTGACCCTGTGTCCTGAGCTCACCAAGGTCCCAAGGGCTGGACTGCCTGTGCCTACACTGCTCACAGCAGTCAGCCCCGGTCAGCTTTGAGGGAGGGTCCTGGCAGTCCCACTATGGTGGATGATGTGGCACCTTCTCTGCGGGAACTGCCTGGCCAGCAGGTTGGGTGGGATGAAGGCATTCACTGCTGCGTCATTGGTTTGACTCTTAACAGAAACCATCAGGAATTCCATCCCTGAGACTTCGCTCAGGGGCGCGACAGGACTGGGAGCCAGGCCCTAGAGCTGTGTGGTGACACACTTGTCCCTGCCTTCCTGGGCGATGGAGAACCCCATACAGCAAAGAGAAAGGGCCTGCCTTTCTCTTTCACACCTCCAACAATGGGTGCAGGCGTGACAAAGAATCCACTAATGAGTCTTGATGTTAAACAGTAATTTCAAGAAAAATCTGCCATATCTTCATGGATTTTACTGTTTTCAATGTTTCCTTCCATTTCATGTGATTTTGGTCTTTTGAGGTCAAAATGAACATTCAGGGTTTCTCACGCTCTTCAGGACTCACATTTCGGCCAGGACGACCCTTTGTTGTGGTGCTGTTCGGGCACTGTAGGATGTCCTTGGCCTCTACTCACTAGCAACCCCTGCTAAGTTGTGACAACCAAAAATGTCCCCAAATGTCCCTGCATGTCCCCTGGAGGGCACACTTGCCTCTGGTTGAGACCACAGCTTTAAAAGGCTGAACAAGTTTCTTATTAATTCAGGGATTAGGCTTAAGTAGTTAGCTCTGGTACTTGACATACTCCAGGCAGTGATCCTATTAAAAGGCCCTCCCTTTATCTTGAATGCACCTCCCATTTGTTTATTTGGGAACAACAGTCACTGCTGGGCAGGGGGCCACGGCTGTGGACCTGCCGGCTGCCAGCTGGCTCCTGCTGAGTGCTGCTGGTGACAGCGGGTGTGTTAAGCTCAGTGCGGGAGTTCTGTGGGAGTCGACGGGTGCTGTTCAGCCAGTGTTCCTAGTAAGTGGGAATTAAGGTACTTGGGGACCCTAAATTCAACATGAGAGCTCAGACTGGTATAGGGACTGTCTTTTCCCTGCCGAGTCTCCTTGCCAGATAACCTCTCTGTCGCTCAATTATGAATACTCAACAAGAGCCACTGACCTCTGTGAATGTGCACCAGGGGCAGGCAGGCGACATGATGCAGACGCGACTTCCAGGCACTGAAGAAGTCTTCCTTCTTGGTCACCACCTGTCAGATGGGCAGAAGAAAAAGAAACACTGCTGATATTCTGAGAGCATCATACATAGCAATAAGGCAGATGGCAAACACACACACCTTCAACACACCCTTAAGCCCAGGTATGTCCCAGAGCTGCCTTCTGTGACCCACGAAAGCTATTCATTACATGATGGATTCCACAAGCGTACTGTGTCCCGTTTATTGTTTATATGACTTCCTCACACATATCATTGTGGCTACCACCAGCCAATTCCGGAGATGTAACAGACAGTCAAAAACACTGTGAAGAGAGAGCATGTGCATGGATAAAGTGAGACTGTTTGAAATTAGCCCTCTCTGCCTGAGTCCTAAATATCAGAACTAACTACTTAAAACTAATCAGCAACAAAAACAACCCACCCTCCCTCCCTCCCTCCCTCCCTCCCTCCCTCCATGGTTGTCAGGTACTTTCACTTGTTTTCAAATTGTCTCCTGACCAGCTGTCATAGTTCCAGAGTTGGCATGTGGTAGTGATGGTACTAGCCTATTTGATATGTATCAGAAATTAGCCATAAACACGGAAACAAACTCACAACACATTTATGTCATGTGTTCATCTAATCAAGAGCTTTTGTGGGTCCGCTCTGTGTAAGGTGGGCTTTCAGTCACTCTAACAAAGGAAGGTTTTATTTTGTTTTGCTTTGCTTTGTTTCGTTTTTTAGTTGGAGGGAGATGAGGAAACATAACTGGAATACAGTAAGAATGAAGAAAATACATGAGGAAGAGAAAGATGCCGAATCACGGAGCTGACAGTTAATCATGCAGGTGGAGTGAAAGGCAGATTCTTATCAGACCAGAATGTTAAATTGGGCACTTTAGACTTTTCTGTGTTTCTTGCCTTTCTTTGTTTCAAAATCTAACAGTTTGATATTTAAACTTATAGCTTTTTTTTTTCTTGCACAAAGAAAGAACATTCAGATGGAAGGTCAGACTCTGTATCTGCTTCGCATTTGCTATGCGCTCAGTCCCGCAGCTCCTCCCACAGCCCCCTCTTCCCACAGGGCCTGCGTACCCCTCCTGTGTCAGAGCCCTGTGTGCCAGTGGAAAGCAGCGCTGCAGAGAGCTGGCGCCCATATATAATTCAGTAGTTACCTGGGGCAGCTGGCACAGTTTGGAGGAGTATGTCACATGTGCCTTGGAGTCCCCCCAAGCTGGGGCGTCTCAGGACAGTTGAGGGAGAAAATATCTGACTCCCTGAATCAATCCCTCTCTGCATTGGTGTCACAGTCAAAACCAAAATGGGCTGGATATTTGCAACTCACACCAAACAGCCTACAGGACGTCTCCAGCAGAAGAGAGGACAGAGCCAGCCCAACACTCTGGGCCCGAAACTCAACCAGTGCTGTAGAGGAAAAGGCTGGGCAATCCATGCCGGAGCCTAGTGGGCAGACTGCTACACTATTGCATGGCAGAGGGGAGGCACAAAATATCATGCAGATGTATCCAAATAGAATTGAGGGTACTTCTAAATATTTTTAAAAACTCCGTATGTAGAGTAGGTCTCTCACAGGCTTCATCCAGAGAAATGCAGGCAGTGACAGCTAGCTGGCTGGACACTGTAGAACCAGCCTGAGAAGGGACTTAGGGGGAAAAAACTTGCAGAAGGTCTTTTGCAAAGTTTGCTGTGACTGCACCCCTCCAAGAGTATAAGACAAAAAGAAAAGCCAAATCCAAGTTACGGGGAAGGCCCCTTGAAGTCCTGCCAGCCAGCTCTGAAGGGCTCTTCCTTACATGTCGGCATCACAGGGCTGCTGCAGGGCCCACCTGAGCAGCTCAGTCCCCTCACCCCCACTGCCCTAACAGGAAGGCTGGCATGACTCCTTCATATCGTAGGATGGCACCCAGGACTTGGATCACTTTGACAGAAAGGCAGCTTTACAAGGGCTGATGCCTTTGTTCCCTTTTTTTTAAAAAATTATTTTTCAATTAAGAGTCGATGTACAATATTATATTAGTTTCAGGTATACAACACAGTGATTAGACATTAATATAACTTATGAAGTGATTGCCACAATAAAGCTAATATCCACCTGACACCGTACATAGTTATTACAATATCATTGATTATATTGCTTTATGCTGTACTTTACATCCCCACGACTATTTTGTAACTATCAAATTGTACTTCTAAATCCCTTTGCCTTTTTCACCCATCTCCTCAATCTACCTCCCACCTGACAACCATCAAAATGTCCTCTGTTATCTATGAATTTGTTTCTGTTTAGTTTGTTCATTTATTTAGTACTTCAGAGACCACATATGAATAAAATTATATGGTATTTGTCTTTCTCCATCTGACTTATTTCACTCAGTACAATACCCTCTAGGTCTCTCTGGGTTGTGGCAGATGGAAAGATTTCATCGTTTTTGATGGCTGAGTTATGTTTCATTGTATATATACACCAATTCTTCTGTATCCATTCATCTATTGATGGACACTTAGATTGCTTCCATAACTTAGATACTGTAAATAATGCTGCAATGAATATTTATGTTCATATATATTTTCAAATTTGTTTTTTTTTTGTTTTCGTCAGATAAATACTCAGAAGTGGAATTGCTGCATTCTTCTTTGTCTCTTGTTATGTAGCCTATGTAAAGTCTATTTTGTCTGGTATAAGTATTGCTAACCCAGCTTTTTTTTTCATTTCCATTTTCATGAAATACCTTTACTTTCAGTCTGTACTTTCTTCTAATCTGAGTGAGTCACTAGTAGGCAGTATAAATAAGGATCTTGTTTTCTTATGCGTTAAGTCACTGTTTGTCTTTTGATTAGAGCATTTAATCCATTTATATTTAAAGGAATTGTTGATAGATAATACAGGTATCGCCATTTTATTGTTTACATTTTTTATCTTCTTTTTTCTTCTTAAAGAAATCCCTTTAACATTTCCTGTAATATTGGTTTGGTGGTGACAAACTACTTTAATCACTTGAGTCTGGGAAGCTCTTTTTGTGTCCTTCATTCTAAATGATAACTTTGACTTCTAGTCAAGATGGTGGCATAGACAGACATGACTCGCCTCTTCGCATGACCACATCAAAAATACAACTAAAATTTAGAACGGCCATCACTCAGGAATGTCAGAAATTGAGCCGAATGGAAGTCTGACAATTATGGAACTAAAGAAACCACATCCATCCATACTGATATGAGGGGCACAGATGCAGAATGGGCCGGTCCAATACCCACATTGATAAAAATTTGGGAGGGATATCTTGGGAGTGAGGCATTCCAGACCCCCACTAGGCCTCCCAGCCCAGGATTCCAGTGCCAGGAAGATAAGCCCCCACAACTTCTGGCTGCAAGAACCAGCAAGGATTGAGTCAGTGGAAGAAACTTCTGGAGCCCCAAGCAGTTCCTCTTAAAGAATCCACACATGGACTCACCTACTCAGTTTCACTCCACCTGAGCTCCAGCACTGGGTTAGCAACTTGAAAGGCACCAGTGGTATACAGAGAGAAACTGAAGTGTCTGGCATCAAGGTCAGCAGAGACCATTGTCCCTTTGCTAAAACCTCCCACCTCCAAAGCCAGTAAGCTGGTGCCATATCTGAGCCTCCATCAACCTGGCTAACACTGTTTGACCTGGCTTGGAGATCCCCAGAGGCTCTGCCCCACCCAATTTATGGGCCCACCCAAGCTGTTTTTGCATAAGAATGGCTGGTCTTGGCTCCTAAATCCTATCAAACAAGCAACAACTGGCTTCAGTGAGCTCTAGCGGCAGCCAGATTAGAGACACAGTTTGGTTTTACCTGGGAATCTCCAAGCCCAGCACAAGTATAAGCCATCTCAGATTGCTTTACAGCTCAGGCAGGGTGTGTGGGCAAAACACAGGTGGGGGCTGATGTTGGGCTGCACCACCTGGGGAAACCCCAGGGCCAACATACTCAGTGGTCAGCTACGGACCACATTGGAGCACTACCACCCTGCCCCTGCACAGGTGATCTTCCAGAGAGGGTGGAGGTTAGTGATCAGTGGTCACAGCCTGTTCTTGTAGCTGACCGGCCTGGGTAAGTCCCTCCCATTGATCTGCCAACAGCAACTAAGACTCAGCTACAAGAGGAGGGTGCCCTCTTGTAGCCCACACAAAGGGTGCACCTTGAGTGCCCAGCTTGGGTGATAGGGGAGGCTGTGCAACTGGACACTATAGGACACCTACTATATCAGGCCACACTACCAAGATACAGAGTCAAAGAAGCTCTACCTAATACATAGAAACAAACACAGGGAGACCGCCAAAACAGGAAGGCAAAGAAACATGGCCCAAATGAAAGGACAGATCAAAACTCCAAAAAAAAAAAAAAAAAAAAAAAACCCAAAAAACCTAAATGGAATGGAGATAAGCAATCTATCAGATGCAGAGTTCAAAACACTGGTTATAAGGATGTTCAGGGAACTTAGTGAAGACCCCAGCGGCATAAAAAACCAGTCAGAAATGAAGGATACACTAATTGAAATAAAGAACAATTTACAGGGAAAAAACAGTAGAGTGGATGAAGCCAAGAATCAAATCAATGATTTGGAACATAAGGAAGCAAAAAACAACCACGCAGAACAAGAAGAAAAAAGGATCCACAAAAAAATGGAAGATAGTATGAACAGCCTCTGGGACAACTTCAAGAGGTCCAACCTTCACCTCACAGAGGTGCCAGAAGGAGAAGAGAAAGAGCAAGAAATTGGAAATATATCTGAAAAAAATAGTGAGAGAAAACTTCACTAATTTGATGAAGGAAATAGACATTCAAGTCCAGGAAACACAGAGTCCAAATTATGATAGATGCAAAGAGGTCCACTCTTTGCAAGACACATAATTAAAAGGCTAAAGTTTAAAGGTAAAAAGAGACTCTTAAAAGCAGCTAGAGAAAGGAAGTTAGTTACTAGATGGTTGCCAGATAAGAGTGGGTAGGGGGAGAATGGATGAAGAGGTAAGGGGATTAAAAAGTACAAATGAGTAGTTACAGAATAGC